CTGTCGTATCTTATAAACTTATATTACATTGTTCCATTAATGCATTTGTCTATGATAGTTTTATTACTATCTAACAAGTGAAAAGTCTCTGTTCACTAAATCCTTTTAAGTATCATAGAAAATGAGAAATATTTGCCAACTGAAAATATACACAGATTCGAAGGTGAGCATCCGATGTGAAATCTTCCCCCGTCCCCTTCGAATGGCTTGCTTTTCAAGGAAGTCATGGAATATTAAATGGACGATACTGAAAACGGTGATATGGGTATGAATTTTGTTAAAGGATAAATGGATGATTTCCCATTTGGGCCAAATGAGATGATTATTTAAATACATAAAAGAAAAGATACACAACAAGGAACAAGATAACATTAAAAGGGTACGGCGCAATAAAAATGCAACCAACAGCAATTACTATACGAAGATCATCACTGAGAATGAACGAACTAACTGCGTTCTTATTAATTATATCTATGTGGAGCTCAAATCTATCAGTCACAGTCTTGATAACGCTTGCAGATTTAGAAATGAGCTACACATGTTTTACATTTTATGTTATCAGCTAAAATAAATTTATAGTGTTCAATACAGGGAGTAGGATTGCATCCGCAACAAACTCTAAATTCCATTCAAAAATCTGGAACAAAGTTTTCGCTTTCTGAAACTGGCCCATCAGCAATTTCAGAAGGTTTAGAAATTAAGTGCTTATTTAAGATGCTTGACATACTCTTAGGATAATTTCCTTATAGAATTAATTAAATTAATTAAAAAAACTTTATTTAAAATTTAATTAGTGGATGTTTATAGTTTCAGAGGAATATTAAATAAATGTGTAGTGGCAGTTGCAATCAGACCTTCTACCCCAGAGCTTCTATTAAATTTTATTTAACAGATATTATAATTTGAATTAAAATGTTTGTATCATTAAATTTTGTTTATTTCATTATCAAAAGCAGCTGTCAATAAATAAATAAAGTTTTGATAAAATAAGCTTTTATTTGAAACTCATAAATTAATTAATGAACTGAAAGGAGAAAAATGATTTATTTTATAGTTTAATAGGAGCAAGAATTTAAATAGTTCTCTTTACAAAACTAATCTACAATTTTATATCAGGAATAATAAAAGCATGGGGCAGCTTATAATTTTGACAATGTAGTTCAAGTATTAGGTTTCGATATTTAGACTCGCACAGTTTTATTATTCGTGATATCAAATTAATTGTAACTGAATTTTGTAGTGATAATTATTTAATCTCTTTCTCCCATTAAACTATATAATAAATTATTTTCAGCCCAAGGGGCCGTTAGCCCAAAAGGACTATTAGTCTCGAAAATGCATTTTGCGTTTGTTCACTAAAACTCTGCGTTTCACTTTTCAAACTGTTCCCACTAATTATTGACGCCCTGTATTATATTTTAAGAAACTAAATAATAAAGAATATGCATGAATATATGTGTTTTTCGCATTGTGAAAAACCAAAGGTATTTCGGGCCATTGAAGTTTGAATAACGTAGTTTTCCACCCGAATATGGGCACCTGGAAGCCGGAATATGGAATTTTGAATTTGTTTTATTGTCTATTTCGTATTTTGTAAAATTTTAACGAACTTCCGATTAACAAAATTCAACGATTTCAAAGCGAGCAGTGACAATACTGTACTGAGAAAACACTTTTATCTCCAGCGCGCCGAGACTCTATATCAGAAATTCTAAATATATACTGTTTTTAAATATTTTAAACCCAAAGACACTAGCCCAAATGCTCTCAAAAGGCATGCAGAAAGGAGGGAGAAAATAATTTTCATACTTTATTTTTTTCTACTTTTAGTCTATTAATTATTTTATGAGTTTTAAATAAAAGCCTACTTTATAATTTTTTTTTAACTTTCATTAGTCTTTTGTAACATGTTACCAATCAAATTCTTAAATTGAAAAATTATTTTTCAACCATAAATAAGCACTCTTTTACTTTTAACAATTTTATTTCGTCAAACGTCCGAAAAATATAGCAAATTTGTCAAAAAAAAAAAAAAAAAAAAAAAAAAAAAAACCTTCGTTAAAAATCTCTTATAAAGTTAATTTAAAAGATCTTTTTCCGGCTCTATCCGATAATGCAAATAATAAAATGCTGAGCATTTTCAGATTGACTGAATAATTAAATGAATAAATGCATGAAAGTTAATGAAGAAATGTATGAAAAGTCATTTTAACGTTAAATTAAGAAAAATCTAAACCGAATTTGAAAAACATCGGTTCACCACATTCCATTGTTATTAATAAATGGTTGTGTGTACTATATGTTTTATTAATTCACGATCAGTTTTGAAAACATTACTGTTTTCTATCAGTTTCTTTAGATCAACAGTTTTCGCACTTTCCGGAAACATTTCTTTCACAAGCTTTGAAAATTTCAAATCTTTATACCAGGTATATTTTTGAATGCTAGAGTTTTTAAGTTCCAATAAAATTAAAGACTGAGAAAAATTTATCGAAACTTATTGAAGGGAAAAATAAAAAAGGCTCAGTAGTTTCCATCCGAAGGAATTTTTTATGGCATAGATTTAATGTGTACAGAAACGCAGAATATATAGCAAATAGTTCTGATGTTAAGACTGAGGAAGCGGGGTGCAAAAATCTGTCCTTCACGTGGTCTCCAATTACAAATGCTATCCCAACACGACCAGTTGACTTGAATCCCATTTGTATATACGGGAACATAACTACTACATTTATGCCTGTGCTTAGCAAAAAGTTGTCTGTAGACAGTCTCGTTAGTGTTTCTTTTACCGTGATCGTGGAAAACATCAAGATGGATTTCTGCATTTTCCTACGGCGGAATTTGGAAATGGTGTACTGCTTGGGGGGATATACCGGAGGGTTCCTCAACCAGAGAACGAACTCTTAAGAAAAAGAAGGCACACAAAATGGTCGTGCTTTAAATAAAATGTCAGAGATGTTATCAACCAAAATTAGCTTATTAGGATGGTCAAACTGAGACAATATATTAAAATACTGCCAAAGAGATAATTTTTCGTGCCTCAAGTGAAGTGATGCTTCATTACAGTCAACACAAAGGCTCTGCACAGGAGATGTCCTGAAAGCTCCAGAACAAATTCGCAAAGCTTGTTGATGAACAGGACCTAATCTTGACAACACTGAAGACCGGGCGGATCCATAAACAACTAAGCTATAGTCCGGTTTAGAGCGTACAAGTGCTCTGTAAATGCGAAGCATAGAGCAACACTCTGCACCCGAAGAAATGTTCGTCAAAACTTTTAAAATATTTAGTGATTTTATACACTTTTTCTCAGGTTCAGTCAATTTTCGGTCTAAAAATGGCCCCTAAAAATTTTACTTCAGGTGCAGTTGGAATTGTCGAATCGTTAAGATATAACTCAGGTTCAGGATGGCGACTTCGCTTTCTATAAAAATGCACACACACGGTCTTCTGTTTCGAAAACGTAAAGCCTTGTTTGTCTTGCATTCCTGGATCCCTCTCATTATTCAGCAGACAAAGGCTATAATCTTCAATCATCCGCTCAGTTTGTCTTACTCGGGAATTTGTGTCTTTACTTCCCCAGAGCGGACTATGGTCGTTAAAATCCCCTATTATGATAAAGGGCTCAGGCAGCTGCTCTATGAGACCATTTAAATCCTGTTGATCAATATGCTCATTTGGAAGCAAATACAGAGAAACGACTGCAACAACAATATGAAAATTTGCTTGATTAGTGAAGTCAAAGGGACGCCGTCAAAGGAAATGTATTTGTTGGATAGTCCAGTGAGGTGAGGAGGCCTACACCCCCACTGGCACGCTCACCTGCAAGATTATCCTTCCTGATGAAAGAAAACCTCCGAAATTTTGCTTGTTGTTCTGGCTGCAGATTTGTTTCCTGATTGCTAAGCACACAGGATGATAAGTATTTATTATATCTTTAATGTCGAGCAAATTTCGGTGGAAACCGCGACAGTTCTACGAGATGAGGGTGGCCATTATGATTGCTGTTTGTTCTCCCTGTGCTACTTCTTAGTTTTTCATGGAAGTCGATGCTTGGGAACGTCTAGATCCTATTCTATTTCCATTTTATCTGAATCCACATATTCAGAAATCATCCCATCAAGAGAGCTATTGCTGGGGCTTCTATTTTTATTAATTATTTTGCAGCCTCGCATTTTTAGGTTTGATTTGAATTACTGTTTCTTTTTGTATTAAATGAGTTGGGTTTTCTTTTTTCTTGTTGGTTGTAGTCGATTGGGTTTTATTTGGTAGAGTCTGCGTACCAATTGATGTTTGTATGGCAACTGTGTGAGATGATTTAAGAGCACTGGCGTAAGATGTATTTGGTCGAAGCTTGTGTTTTGGATTAATATTTTCTTTTCAGCATAAGTGATGTTCCTAATAACTTTTGCAGTCTGCACTTCTTTTTCTGATTTCCATTTTGGGCACAAGCGAGAAAATGCTGGGTGTTCACCCTTGCAATTTATACACAATACAAGATTTTTCGAATGACTCGCGTTCCCTTTGGAGTGACATCAAGCCCATTTATTTTTGCTGCGACTATTAAATACCACATTAGAAAATGTAAACTTGAACAAAGCGAAACTTGTGAAATGCTTGACTCGGCACTTTATGTAGATGATCTTTTTTACGGAGCAAATACAATAGAGAAAAACTTTAGAACTTTCACAGAGCGCTGTAAAAATTCTTAAAGATGCGAACATGAATTTAAGAAAATTTAATACTAATTTGGATGAGTTGAGAAATTTATGGAGTGAACGAGGTTTATCTGATGTGACAGAAACTAAAGAATGTCCTTTGAAGGTTTTAAGCATAATATGGAACACCGAAGAAGATACTTTTAAGTTAGATGTAAAAACCTCTACTGGACATGAATCCTGTGATAGGAAGAATTCAAAACGTAGTGTACTTCAGACAGCTTCGAAGTTATTTGATCCTATGGGAATTGCATCACCTTTTATTGTTCTCATAAATTATTAATGCAAGAAATATGGGAACTTGGTTTAGGATGGGATGATGAGCTATCAACTGACTTGAAGAAAAAATGGGATAATTGGTGCTCTCAGATTTATCTGTTGAAAGATTTGACAATCGAAAGAAAATATTTCTCCATACCATGGAAGTTGGTGAAAGAATTAGAACTACACATATTTTCTGACGCTTCTCCTAAAGCTTTCGGAGCAGTTGCGTAGTTCCGTTACGTGTCAAGTGATATGATTGTATTTATACAAGTTTATCACTGCAAAATTTAGAATCGCATCGCTTAAAAGGTTGACATTACCGAGGCTTGAACTTATGGGAGCTGTTATTGCTTCTAGACTTTTCCAATATTTGAAAACAAATTTTTAATTTCTTTTGTCTAGGGTATATATGTGGACAGATTTCTTAATCGCTCTTCATTGGATTAAAGGGAAAATTTCAAAATGGAAACCTTTTGTATCGAACCGTGTATTCGAAATCCAGTCTGGAACTGATCCTGATGATTGGAATCACTGTAGTGGGCAGGATAATCCTGCAGATTTCATATCTCTTGGAGCTACGGTGGAAAAGTTTAAGATCCAGAATGGCTTCGGTTGAAGAAAAGGGATTGACCAAAAGGCTCTAATTATGAAATTCGTCTAGAGATTTCTCCAGAAGTATATTGCGAAAAAAGAAGTAAACTGGAAGAAGTATCGTCTGTTGTGTGCGAAGTTCAATCGAATTTGACACATTTAATGGATTTGAATAGATATAGTAGTTTAAAAAAACTATACCGTGTTACAAGTTGGGTACTACGATTTATACACAACCTTAAAATAAAACTGAACGATGTGGTGAACTAAGCACTGAAGAACTTAACGAGGCTGAAATTATATGGACAATAACTGTTCAAAGTGAAGCTTTTGCGGAAGAACTGTCCTCTTTGATACAGGGTAAAACAATTTCTAAGACTTCCTCTATTCTAGAACTGAATCCCTTTCTTAATAATGACGGGATAATGCATGTTGGTGGAAGACTTCAGAAGTCAAGACTTTCTTACCTTCAAAGACACCCAATTATTATGCCCTCAAAACATCACTTTGTGAATTTATTAGTGTGGGATGCACACAGCAAAGTGTTTCACGGTGGAATTTCTGAAACTTTGATAGAAATACGCGAAAGATACTGGATAATTAAAGGAAGACAAACTGTTAAAAATATCTTAAGAAAATGTATTCTGTGTAAACGATTTAATTCTTCTCCTGGTGTGCAAGTTACTGCTCCTTTACCAGTAAATAGAACAGAAGAATTACCTCCTTTTTCTGTAGTAGGTATAGATTTCGGTGGACCACTTTATACCAAAGACAGTGATGAGAAAAACTACATCGTGTTGTTTACTTGTGGAGTAACGCGAGCTCTTCATTTAGAGTTTGTTGGTAGCATGACCACAGAAACATTTCTTCTTGCTTTTCGACGATTCATTGCTCGTCGAGGTCTATGTTCTCAAGTTTTGACGGACAATGCCAAAACTTTCAAACGATCAGGAACTTGAACTTAAAAATTTGTGGACTGTCATTAGTCAGCCAACAGTAAAATACTTTTATGCCTCCCACAAAATCCAGTGGTGCTACATCGCTGAGAAAGCTGCGTGATGTGGTGGCTTCTATGAAAGACTAATTAAATCTGTAAAACTTGCTTTACGAAAAACTCAAAAAAACTACTTTATCTCTAGATGAGTTAGAAACTCTAATTATTGAAATTGAAAGTGTTCTTAACTCTCGTCTGTTAACTTATGTTTATTCTGAATTACAGAAACCTATGCCTCTAACTCCAGCTCATATGCTATTGGGGCGCAGAGTGAATAGTTTGCCTCCTGCCAGGCTTCATTTTGATTCTAATTTAGTTAATAGGAAAATGCTAATTAAAAGATTTAATTATCGAGAAAGATTGGTAAGTATGTTTTGGAATAAATGGAAAAATGAATACCTATTAATGCTGAGATCTATTCATTGTGTTTAACCTTCAGGTAAAATTACTGAATTTAAAGTTGATATTGTATTAATTCATGATGAAAAGCTTTTCAGACATTTTTGGAAATTAGGAAGAGTTATAACTGTATTTCCTGGCAGAGATGGAAAAGTAAGGTCTTGTGAAATTACAACAGGTACATCAGTTATCAAAAAACCTGTGCAGCTTTTATATAATCTTGAAATCAGTGAACAAATTCAATTGTTTATTATATGTTTATTACTCTGTATTGTTGTTACAGGACTATTCCAGATATGTGATGAAAGTTTTAATGTATGTACTGGTGTTAAGTTTCCAGCTTATTATCTTTATTAAACTTTATTGCAGTTAACTTTACAAATTGTTTAAAGATGAATGATTTGTTTATATAGCAACTAAGTGTAGTTTCTTTAATATGTGAATTGATTGAACTTTACATTGTAAGAGTTTCTTTTGTTAAATTTTTATTAATGTAAATGTTTGAATGAACCCCTGGTCATTCGGGGGGCAGACTGTAGAAACTGTATTGCACCAGATGGCGCAGTGTGCGCTTAAATCACTTAGACTAGTGCAGAACCTTAATGACTGAGTGAGATGTAACACGAACGCGAAACACTAACTAAAGTTTATATGTGCTTCCCTTTATTGTAAATGTATTTATTGTGTCGTCAAATAAAATTTAGAGAAAATGACAAAAGGCGAGAATGCGTCTGACTGGTAAGCGAAATTACTTTATATTTTGATTTGGTTATTGAGTTTTAGCGACAGAGAATGTACGAGTATATGCGTATTTACACTAGGTGAGTTTATCACGTTAGTCTGTTGTAGTATAGTGAGTAGGTTCGCACCTTGACATGGGCTTACCAAACTTTATATAGATATCTTTCTCATGTGCTCATGCATGAATATTAGAAGAACAAGTGATACAGCATGCGTGAGAGCTCAAAATCGGCCCTGATTTCCAACTTTGAATCCAAAGTACAAGAAGTAAGTTTTTGTCGTTTCAGGTATAACGACATTTTTTTTTGAAAGCATGTGGGAGCGATGACTTTTATTTCCACCTAAATACAGGCTACAGTTTTAATACCCATGTTTTTATACTCATGTTTTATACCCATGTACCATAGTTTTTAATACCCATGTTTAACGTTATTACGAGCCAGTTTCCCTTATAAAGTCCTCCACGAAGGTATGCCTTGCCTTGGGCAGATAGCCCTAGTGTGTTTTGCTGTAATCAAATAAACCAAAAGACGCTTAGTATGGTCAAAAGTAACTACTCCCTTTGTGGCTTGTTTCTTCCACTTCTTAGTAAGTGATGTCAGCTTTGGAAAAAGGCCTAATCTTGTTTATCTAGTGACTTTGACGTCGTATGAAAGGTGCATTCCTAAACTTTCCTAACATTTCAATGTTTCTATTTTGATGTTGCCTAAGATTCGAAATTTACTGATATCTGCTGTAATTTGTATACCGCGAGGATCAATGTTTTTAACCCCGTTGATAAAAATGAAGTATTTATGCATTTCCATTTTTAACTTCACACTTATAAATCAATAAGAGGAAGTATTCTACGTCGCAAAGAGTAAGATGTTTGTTCATTGCGCTCTAATTTTTTTTACATTTCAGTGCTGATTTTGCGCGCTTTAGATATCATATCTTTGTTAATCATAACGAGTGCTTATTTTGTGCATTATTTCCGTAAATATCGTCACGTTGTTTTGATATAGTCAGAATCTCAAATGTAATTCATTGCATAATCTGACTGTAACTCATTGTATAATCATATAATAGATAAATGCCTACTTTATCTTCCGTTACGTCGAAAAGAAATCTTAATGAATATTTTGAATATCATTTTTATGATCTGCATTTCCAAATTAATTAAAACTACGTTTTTGTATCGAAAGATTTGTATAGAATATTCTTTTTCCGTCCTGAAGTTTAAAAATTCACAACCTCGTACAAGATAAATGAGATACTTTTAGCTAGAATTCCGAAGAGTAAATTTATATTAGAAAAAGCACATACATTTAAACTCAATCTTATTTCTGAAAGAAATATTTTTGTGCAAACTTCCGTAACATAGTATCCATGAATTTTATGTGGTTATGTCACTTTTCCTTTGCATAATACTTTAAAATAATTAAATTTTATCTTTGTTAAATATGTGCAGGCATTTTCGAAAATGGCCTCTAAAAGAAAAAAAAAAAAAAACACACACACACACCAAAAAAAAAAAAGAATAGATATTTCTGTTTATTAACATTGGCAACAGTAGTTCAGTTTAAAAAAATAGACATCTGACGTCGGCTGTAATTCTTTTTTAGTAGCGTCTGTGATTTTAGGTAGATATGCTGTGTTTTGTGTTCGACATGTAAACATTATGAGAAATAAGCGTGTTTTCTACAAAAATAAGCTTCAAGTACTGCTTGATAACTTTTCTACCTCTTAAGCTCGTTCCGGATTTGAACCTTTGGAAGAAAAAATGGTAAGTGAAACCTTTTTGCTAAATTTAGAATTTTGAACTGAAAAGATTTCTTATAGTTTTTCAACGCAAATATCTCCCACTGGCGTTAGTTTAAGATAAAATAATGTCATATCAAATCTTTTTTTTTTTAATACCATTTGGCATTACTATTTTTAGCAACTCATTTTAAATACAGAATTTTAGGTTCTATATTATTTTGAATCACTGGACGGTTACTGTATATTTCCAAACACACGTCAGTCCATGTAGGGAGGATTTTGATTTAGAATGTAGACCCGAAGTTGCAAACCCATGTATAAGGTGAAATTAAAAGCGCCCTTCAAATTTAACTACATATATCGCCAAAACTGCAAATAGTGGGTCATGTAAGTTAGACAAATCTATTTTTGAGTTATTTGGCTTATGGCAAAGTATACAAAAGCTTATACGCCTAAGAGGAGGGATATATAAATATATTGAATTTATATACCGGGTGATCAAAAAGTCAGTATAAATTTGAAAACTTAATAAATCACGGAATAATGTAGATAGAGAAATAAAAATTGACACACATACTTAGAATGACTAGGGGTTTTATTAGAACCAAAACAAAGTTTACTGTTATCGGGCTTTTTTTCTTCGAGGAAATGCGTGATTCTGGTTTTGTAACTGCTACCGTGACGGGTGAGAGGTACGCCGATATGTTACAGAATCGCATCGTCCCCAGCCTGGCTGATAAACACCTGCTGGAACGTACGATTTTTATGCAGGATGGCGCTCCACCCCATATTGCTAGACGCGTGAAAGGTCTCTTGCGCGCGTCGTTTGGTGATGATCGTGTGCTCAGCCGCCACTTTCGTCATGCTTGGCCTCCTAGATTCCCAGACCTCAGTCCGTGCGATTATTGGCTTTGGGTTTACCTGAAGTCGCAAGTGTATCGTGATCGACCGACATCTTTAGGGATGCTGAAAGACAACATCCGACGCCAATGCCTCACCATAACTCCGGACATGCTTTAGAGTGCTGTTCACAACATTATTCCTCGACTACAGCTATTGTTGAGGAATGATGGTGAACATATTGAGCATTTCCTGTAAAGAACATCATTTTTGCTTTCTCTTAATTTGTTATGCTAATTATTGCTTTTCTGATCAGATTATTGCTTTTCTAATAAAACCCCATGTTAATCTAAGTATGTGTGTCAATTTTTACCTTTCTATCTACATTATTCCGTGATTTATTAAGTTTTCAAATTTATACTGACTTTTTGATCACCCGGTATATATATATATATACACATATAAAACCCCTCAAAAAGACTTTACATTTTTCCTGAAAAGGGTAAGTGAAAAAAGTTTTCTTGTATGCTTCGTTTTAAAGTTGCTTATTTTTAATATTTTGTTATCTTTTTGGCTCAATCCTAGAAGATGGGAAAGCTGATTTTGTGCAATTCTCCGATTTTTTTTAGTGAAAATAGATCGATGTGTACATGGGCAAAGCCAATGCAGTGCACAATGCCGAGGTTGTGCGCGATGCCGAGTTTGTGCAATTCTCTGATTTTTTTTAAGTGAAAATAGATCGATGTGCACATGGGTGGCTGTATGTTATGCCGAGCAGTAATATTTTATATGCAAAGTTTAATGTATCGTTTGTGTATTTTAAATTTGTATTATTGTTGTTTTAAATGAAAGTTATACGTAAGGCATCTTTTTTGTATTTAAATTGTATTTTTAATTGTTTGGTTTTGATATGTTGATAATACATTCCGAATAATATCGATAATCCAACGATCTACTCAGTAGTAGCAAAACTGTAAACTATGACCCTATAAATAACTTATTTTGTTATTTTAATACGTAGTATTTGCTATCGCAATTGCACTTGATCATATGAGTTCATTGATAATATATGTCTGCATGTGTGCGTGAATAAGCATTGCTTAGTGTTCTAAATTTGTAGTGTTTATTTTCTTCCATTGTGAGAAATTAGATTTTTTTATTTGAAGAATGTGTATAATTCTAATATGACTACAGAGAATATGACGTGATTTAAGAATTTAAGAAACAGTGATATGAAAGCTA